TATATAGCTGTTGAATAGTCTGAATTGATTACATTAGTAATCAGTTGCCGATGAAACGCACACTCTGTGTGATCACAGGGAACAGGGTGTAATACTAGACTGCACTGCCATCCAAAGTCAGATTTTTTATTCATAAGATGTACTCCACCCCTAAAAACGTCTTTTTTGAGCTGTAAACTGAATTTACATGACTATACTGTGATGAAACACATCACTGCAGGTGTTAGGAATTTTAGATTATTGCCAAATTAATAAAATCTGCATTTTGTGGGTTAAAATCTCAATGCGCCCTCTACTGTTTTAACCAGCAACCTGTAGGTTTTAAGACAATTCGCTGGCGCGACTCTTGGTCATAACATATAAAAAACCAGGGTTAACGCCCTTTAATCAGAGGAGGGCAGCCCACCTCCCTCAGCCTTCGCTTTGAGTGGGAGTCTGTGAAACTGCAGCTATACTGATTGAGATGTATCATTCACAGGAGTTAATGGTAGTTGTTGCTAACCTTTGTATTTTTCCATTCTGGCTCAGTGGTTCGTGCTTTAGACAGCTGTAGAAACACCACCGGACTGCAGTGTTACCTTGATCCCACACACTGACAGTCCCCCCAACACACACACATACCAGAGACTTAGCCTCTCTGAGCTGCTAGCTTAGCTACAACATACATATCCACGATCTGTAGAACGCATTTCAAATTGGTGGGGCGCATCAGCACCACAGTGTCAAGGAGAAGGGCAGTGCCAAGCCACCAATTTTCAATGGGAAATGTTTCATTTACATCACATGACACAATTAGCCAATACATTTTTAGACAGCAGAATATATTGCTTTTGCACAGGCTGTGGTCGCAGAGTATGATATATATGGCTACCATAAATTGTATAAATAAAAAGTGGCTACTAAAGAATTTTATTTAATCTTTTTACATGTTTTAAATTCAAAAGTAGATAGGGCTCCAGCCCTACCAGGTCCGTGGTCCATGGGTACAGAAACTTGTACAAATTATCATCAAAGTGCTTAGAGTGACTAAAAACTCTAGTGGACTCTGTGTTTCCAGTAAAATATCAACAAAACAAAAAAATTAAAGTTTGAAACACTGACTATATATATAATGCACAGTACTTTCGGGTCAGTGAAGTGAAGCAAACATGGAAATGTCTTAAACCTGCATTCTATGTAAAGGCCAGCAGGGGCCAGCTCCATTGGCTGCAATAAAAAACTATACCATGCACTCTAATGGAGAAATGACCTGACTTCTCACTTGATTTATTAGCTCAGTTTCCTAATGAGTTTATGGTCTCAATCGCTAGTTTGAAGTTTGCTTATATACATTATGGTGTCTATTTAGTAAATTACGGTCCAACTTAGAGTAAAATAGACGATAGGCAGGGTAAACTTTTGGGGCGTGGCTACCTTGTGATTGACAAGTCATACTCAGTGAGTCTGTCCTGTCTATCATGTGTGATGTTATTTGAGTTGTTTTTCGGTCGTTACCAAAGTAACTACACTCATTTGCTGGTTACTGTTTAGTTCTGGAGAGACTGCACATACCGTCCAATAATATTAAACATTAAGTGTTCCATCTTTCAATCACTGACAGACCAACAAGGGCTGCGTATTCATGAGCTATGTAGCATCGACTAGTTATGGATAACTGTGGGACAACACTGAGCACTTTAAAATAAAAAATAATCTAACATTAAAAATAACTAATAATAAAATAATTAACCCAAAGTGTCAGAAACTAAAATATCCCAATAAACATTGTTTATATCTCATCATTAACTCCAATACTAACCATTTCAGTCAATATTTAGTGCAATGATGTTCTTAACCTCTCATAGATCATGGTTTAATGAGGATAATTCACTCGTTTTTCATGAAAAATGAAAAAAAATTGTTAAAAGTATTTTTTTCGGTATGAAACTTTTTCTGCTTGGCTTAATAAGTGAAATCAACATATAAAATGAAAATGGTTTATTTCATATTTGCAACCCTGTTTATATAACACAGATACTGTTCGGGTCAGCTTGACCCGGCAGTCAAAGTGGAGGCTCAAAGGGGTCAGAAGTGTCATATACTATTTGTTTCTTTGTAACTGTGAGACACATTTCACCCCAATCACACACACACACACACACACACACACACTCTCTCCCTATTCTCTTGACCCCATCTGTAAAGTGGAGAATGCAGGTGTGGTTCCAAAAGTCACTTTTGAATGTGTTACTTGGAGGAATAGGAATATCAGTTTATGCATTTTGTTCATCATCAGAATCATCAGAGGCTGAACCTCTTCTGTTTCCGTGGGCAAACTATGAAACTCATCTTTGATCACGACAGTGAAATAGAAGAAGATGAAGACCATCTTGAGGTCAATTCTGAGTCTGGTGATTCTGATGATGAACAAAATGAAGAAACTGCTATTCCTATTCCTCCAAGCAACACATTTAAAAGTGACTTTTTGCTGGAACCACACCTGCATTCTCGCACTTTACAGATGGGGTCAAGAGAATAGGGAGAGGGTGTGTGTGTGTGTGTGTGTGTGTGTAATTGAGGTGAAATATGTCTCACAGTAGCAAAGAAACAATTAGTAGATGACACGTCTGACCCCTTTTAGTCTCCATTTGACATAACAGAAGGGTTAACAATAACAATAATCAATAATAACAATAACAATAACAATAACAATAACAATAGCAATAACAATAATAATAAAAGGTCTTTCAGTTGGCCTTCTTTAAGATCTTGTCCAGCGCCCGCCTTTCTCTCTCAGGGACAATCTTTTTCCACAGGTTTGTAAAGTCCTTGTGGAGGGCAAGTTCATGGAGCATCGTTTGTCCATGTTGCCTGTGGAGGAACGTGTTTTTCATTTAGCTCAATGTTCAGAAAAATAAACAAACGAGAGCTACATATCACATATATTTGGCAAAATTGTGCACTAAATTTATAGAACTCGATAACCCACCTTACTTCCGGAGCAGCATCCACGGACATTTTGGAGACAGCAGTAAGG